CTTCTAAAATTTATACACATACAATAATATGAATGACACATCAAAATCTAATCCAAAAACTTAAGCATATGCATATGTAAATCTAAACCTAAAGCATATGAAACATGTACTCTTATACTAACTTGAGCATATACAACATAAACAAAGAAAAAAGGAATGAAGATATTGAAGAGTACCGTACTTCAAAGCTGAAGAATCAAATGAACGAAAAGGGTGAATATTTGAGCATATACAACATAAACCAAGAAAAAAGGAATGAAGGTGTTGAAGAGTACTGTACTTCGAAGCTGAAGAATCAAATGAACAAAGAGGGTAAAGATTTAAGCTCCAAATGAATGGATATGAAGAGGGTAAAGATTACACCACCGCTGTCATCTCTGACTCGCTTGTTCGCCTATGACGTCTTATGAAAGAAATGCATAATAAGTTTTGTTTAATTTATTAGTAAACCCTTTAATCGTAGTTGGACAACCCAACCGTAGTGAAATTGTAAGTCCTCTAACAACGGTTGGTTTACTTCACCGTTGTAAAATCATTTATAATTTATTTTTTAAATAATGGACTTAAGTGACACATGCTTAATGTACTCTAAAAAATGAAAAAATATAGTTGCTAAGAATCGAAGCTTGCTACACATCATTTATCACTACGGTGTTTTAAGACAACCGTCATTAAATTACTGTTTATAAATCCAGCTACTCACTGGACGCGGAAATTTTAACCTATTACAACGATGTATATGAATCCGTTGTAAACCTGGAGTTGTTGTTTGCACGTTTTGTAGTAGTGTACATTTAATTTGATGTTGAACCACGAAGTTGAAAAGACATGGTATTGAATTAATCCATATGGTTTGAAAATTCTAGCTTTGAGAGTTATAGCCCAAGCCCCTTTACTCGTTATCGGCTCCCATTCAAGCTTTAGGTTAGATGCCTCATTACATTTGATAAGGGATCTCAAACCTAATCCACCACGAGACCGAGGCATGTATATTTTGTTCCAAGCATTTATTACTAGATTCCTTTTTTGACTGCTCTATTCCATATGAAATTCCTAAAAGCTCTCTCAATCTCTTTCAATAAATCAGCAAGCCAAGAATAGATTGTGATGGTATGAGTAAGTATACTCTGAATGATAAATTTAACAAGCAATACTCTGCCAACCGTTAATAAAATAAAGTATTTCCATGTAGCCATTTTATAAATTATTTTATCTGCAATAGGTTATAAGTATGATAACCTAATCCTCCCATTGAAAATTGGAACTCCAAGGTAATTGAAGGACATGGATCCCCTATAGAATCTTGTCATGTTAAGAATGCGAAGAAGTTTAATAAAAGGTATGAAACTTGAATAGATAGAAGATTTGGATATATTTACTATCTGAACAGAGGCAATGTAATACTTACTTAAAATATTTATGAAGGCTTGAATGTTGGATATATTTACCTTGCTGAAAATTAAGATGTTATCTGCATACATGACATGTGAAGAAATATAGTTATCTTTACTACGTTTGATGAGCTTTAAGGAGCCATCCTCACCAAGCTTAACAATGCTTCTACTTAATACTTCTTCTACAAGGAAAAATAAAACAGGAGACAATGGATCTCCTTGCCTAACACCTCTTGTTCAGTTAAAAAAACCATGATGAGAACCATTTATAGATACAGAAAGGAAGGATGAAGCTAGGGTGGTTTGTATCAAATTGCAGAAAGTTGTGTTGAAACCAAATTTTATGAGAAAAATAGAAGAAAATTCCAACTTATAGTGTCAAAAGCCTTTGATATGTCTACTTTAAGGGACATGTTCCCACCAAAAGCTTTGTTATCAATATGATTTATGGCTTTAGAAGCAAGATAAATGCAGTCTTTTATGCATCTACCTTGAATGAATACTCTTTGCTCAAAGCAAATTAAATATGGAATGAACTGGCCAATCTATCAACAGTGATCTTTGAAATAATTTTGAACTTAAAATTAGCCAAAGCAATGGGTATGAACTTTTCCATTGTGTCAGCTTATTTGGATTTAGGAAACATAATTATAGTGTTAGAGTTGTACTTAGGAAGAATCCAACCAATTTTGAAGAATTGAAGAACTTCATTACAAACCTCAATCTTTATAATAGGCCAATAGGTGTGGTAGAACACTCCTCCAAAGCAATCAGGGCTAGAAACACTGTCTTTTTTTAGGTTAAAAACTACCATGATATCCTTAGAAGAAGGAGTCCTAGTGAGGAACTGGTTCATGTTAGAGTCCACCAAAGAAGGAATCACATCATCCACCATAGATAAATCTTAAGAAACATCTGCAAAAAGAGTTAGTAAAATAAGTAACAACATGGTTTGGCAATTCCTCAGGGTCATGAATTAAGTCCTCATTATTTCTCAAGAAGGTGATTGTGTTTTTGGAGTTTCTAATTTTTGCGGTTATATGGAAGAATGCAGTATTTCTATTCCCCTTCATATGCCATCTAAATTTTGATTTTTAAACCAGAACATCTCTTCCTTAGCAATGACTTGTTCTATATCATGTTGAGCCAAAGTTTCTTGAGCTATAAGATTCTAATTGTTACTATCCATGACTTAAGGCTTGCTTAAAGCAATTGTAACTTCTTGTCAAGGATATACATAGGGCAACCTATGGTCGAACCATACCAACATTTAGCAATGAAACCCTCACACTTGTCATGAAGGGTCCACATGTCTAGGAACCCGAAGTTTGAAGCATGCTTGTGTTAAGAGAAACTAGCCTCTAAAATAAAAAGATAATGATCTGATATAAGTTTTGTCAGGGTTGAGATATTCATGATTGTGCTGGTGGTCAACCAATTTTGATTGCAAAAATCCCTGTCCAATCTTCTTTCCACTAAGCCACTCTCATGCATACCATTTTACAAGGTTTAATAGGATCCATTAGTAGGAACATTTATTAGATTGTAATAATCTTTTTTTTTTTTTGAAATCCTCCACATGAGTTTTGTTTGGAGTATGATTACCTATGTGTGCATGAAATCCAACTATTGCATTAAAGTCTCCTATGATGCACCATGCCATTGTATTATTGATAACGGAATAAGAGATGTCCAACCAAAACCTTCTTCTATTGTTATGACAGGTGGAGGCATAAACAACAGTCATGACAACGTGAATAAAGTCTTGTATTGTTGTGCATTGGAGACATAAACATTTTAAAGAGGAAATGTCCAACCAAAACCTTCTTCTATTGTTCCTAAGATGTCTGCTATTGTGAAGATTATTTTAGGCTTCCCATACTCTTGCGATAAACTATGAATTTGACTCATACCTGAGTTGATGTTATATTGACATTTAGAGGGACAAAGTCTTTAGAACAAGGGAATAAGTTGAGGATACATGTATTTAAGTTTCATGAGCTTATACATCTAACTCTCTACACATCTTCAAGGCTTGAAAAAGTGAACTTATAGAATCCTTTCTCTAGAGATGTTATACCCCACTTTTCAATAGATGACCATTGAGTAGCTCGCTTTGTGCGTACTTTAACAACAATTAGAGGTGTTAATCCCTCAGGTCATAGGATTCTAAGATTCTGCCATGGAGATTGTGTTTACAAGCTTTAAGGATTTACTTGTTTCTTCTTTTAAAATAGTAATGGCAAGACGGTTTCCTTTCAAACACGACACTAGTGACTAACTTTAAGAAATGTTACATACATTTGTTTTCACATCCACAAAAATTAAAGTTTAGTCTTTGTTGTTTCCTTAGAGGTTTCATGAGGCTTTGCTAAATCCATAAAAGTTTTGGTCTTTGTTGTTTCCTTAGAGGTTTCATGAGGCTTTGCTTGATTCATTTGATTGATACAAGGAACATTGGTTTTAGGAAACAATTCATCTGTAAAAATAATAGACATTGTGTGAGGGAGGAAAGAGATGGTTTAGGTCAACATTTTATTTCAACTTTTTTGAAACACCATTTGGTTCATTACCTTTTCAATATTTTGACATTTCCCAATCAAGTTAACAAAACTTGAAAAAATAAAGATTAATTTGTAATTTAAAAAAAATATAAAAATCAATTTTAAAGTTAAAAAGAATCAATTTGTAAAATTCCTATAACACATAGATACTATTTCCTCATTTTCAAAATGATTGTCGCATTTAAAAAAATTATTTGTTCTAAAATATTTGTTACTTTATCTTATCAATGCATTTTTTATTTTTATTTTCTTATTGTATCCTTTAATTAATATATCTAATTTACTATTTTTTCATTTCGCATTGATGCTAATTCGAATACACAGGTAATTAACAAAGATAATTTGATAAAATTAAATATGACACTTATTTTAAAACGAAAGAAGAAATATGTAAAATTTTGAAATACATTAGCATCTTGCATGATTTTAATATAAAGATCAGTTTTCTATTCACATTACAAAATGTATATTATACTATAAAAATTATTATTATTTTTTTAAAATCAAATAAATGAGTTCTATATCCTAAAAAAATCTTAAACTTTACATTTTTTGGCAACATTTAAAATTTGTTAAATTTTATATTGATGAAATAATTCACGAAATAATTAATTTTGTTTTTTAAAATTTATTATTTAAATAATAAAATTTACACATTTTTTTAAAAATTACCATCTAAAATTATATTACCCGAATCTCACTACATTTGAGATGATAAAAGTTTTCACAAACATTAATATATCCATATATTAATTTAAGTCCACAATTCTTCACTTCAAAATGTTTACTTTATACGAGTTTTACTTTTAAGTTTTTTAGAAAACGAAAGAATTACATTAAGTTAAAAAAAAACGACACTAAAACTCGTTAAAAGTGTTCGATCAATAATATCTTTAAATAGAAAAACGCGTTTCTTTATTCTTTCAATTTCTCTTTTATTTTTTATTGATAAATTTCAATTTCTCAATACTCCATGTATTAATTTGTCGTCGTCTTTAGTCTTTTACCTTTCAATTACGACTCATTCATTCATTTCAACGCCATGGGAATTTGCTGCTCCGATATCGCCGGTGGTCGTTCGGCCGTCGGCGGAACAGCCGGCGGTATACTCAATTCGGCGAACGCTCCCAACGACGCCGTCGATAACTTCTTCAAGTCTCGCGGCTACAACGGTCTCTTCTCACAGATCGAGGTTCTCATCTCGCTTTCTTTTTCATCTTCTTTTACTTCCTAGTTTCTTTCACTACGCTACTATACTATACGAACAACTTCAATTACTGTAATCGCATCTAGTTGAAAGAGATTTTTCCAATTTGCAGTTGTCGTTTTCTGCTTCTGGATTGCGTGATCGAGATGTGCTCTCCAAGGTTTGTTGTTTTCACTCTTTGATGAATCTCAAGCTTGCTTAGTGCTTCCGATAGCTTTAATTTAGTCTTTATATACTCTAATTGTTTTTTATTATTGTTAGTTAATAATAGTAATTAAGAAGAAACTCAACTACTAGAGAAATTAATTAAGCGTGGCATTGAAAACTGTGTACATAAAATTAGTCAAGAATCAAGATAAGGATAGCAAGACGTAGTGTTGAATCAAACTCCTAAATATTTCATTATTATTAAGCTCTGTAGCAGCTACACCTCTAAAAACAGCGAGTCACTGTCGGTGTCTGATCGACACTTGTGATTGCGTTTAATTTATTTATTTTTTCAAATTATTACCGTTGTTGACGTGTTAGAGACGGGTTTCCGATATCCGTGCTTCATAGTTTTTAAGTGATTGTATAGTACATGAGTGTATTTTACTCCGAGAAATCAGAAGGGGAGCATTTAACTCTTGAGAGGGATCATGAACTGTAATAATATGTGGCTGGGAGTTAGTCATGAAGCACAATGTCAATACATATAGCTCGGATATGAGATTGTTGTGTGAAGTTGTAAAAAAAGTAACGTGTCATGTCATGTGTTCTAATTGTGTTGTGTTATATATTGTTACTTGTTATCGTGCTATTGACAACCTAGGTTAGAAGAATTTCCTATTTGGAAGAGAAACATCTGGTGGATCTAATTGTTCGAAACTGAAGAATTTCCTATTTGTTTATACTGATTGTCATCCTTTAAATAAAATATTATGTTTTCAATGGCTAATATTCTCATTATTCAGTTGCATGATTAATGTGTAGAGCGATCCCATACTGGTTCTTTATGCAAAAGGAAAAAATGGAGCACTTGAGGAACTTGGCCGGACAGAAGTAGTTTTGAATTCATTGAATCCGACATGGATTACTAAACAAACTCTCATTTATCATTTTGAGGTTGTTCAGGTTTTAGTGTAAGTTTAAACATTGGTATTTTTACTTCAAACAAGGCAGGCATATAAGCATTTTGTTGTTTCACCAGGAATTGTTCTGTAAATTTTTTTTATCACAGGTTTCACGTTTATGATGTTGACACTCAGTTTCACAACGCAGATGTGAAGGTATAAAGCTTAATATGTTCTGCAAATCTAAGTTTTTGATAGATAGACATTTTGATATACATTTTTTTATTGAAAATTAAAATAACCTACTACTTACTGTTTCTGAGAATTTCTCCCTTTACTAAGATGCCTGACCCAACTATTTTAAGAACCCTGTAATCTAAGTTGTATTAATTTATGGAATGCAAAAAGTTTAAATATGTTGATATAAAAAAATTATCACATGACTGAATATATAGACTTCAAAATTATTTTAACAGATCGATTTATGTTTTTGCATGCCAGTTACGGTTCCATTATTTTTCCTCAGACTTTTTTAGTTCAAGATTTTATTTAATGATGGCAAGTTGCACGCAAAATGCTGCTGTGCTGCCCTTTCTGATAGTTCTGCAGCATTTTAGGAGAGAAGTAAAATTCTTTATGCATGTTTAACAAACATGAATCGTGGAATATGATTTTTTGATAACTGCTATTTACACAATCAAATTGGCCACATTCTTCTCACATCATTTTTTTGTGCTTCACTAGAGACAACTAAACCTTACTTAAAATTTATTCCTAATGGTTCAGATTCTGCACAATCTTCTCGTAAGGTTATTCAACAATCATTTCTAAGATATTAATTTGCTATGTGGATCCTGTTGCTTGTTTGATAGATAGGATATACAAGTTCCAATTGTAACTATTTGGTTAACTTGTGCAGATACTTAAGCTAGAAGAACAACAATTTCTAGGTGAGGCAACATGTGCATTATCTGAGGTAATTTAGAGACTGTTCACCTTTTTGGGAGTGATATTAGATAACTAAATAAAAGTTCACTACACTCTCAATGGAGCTGTATCTTTATGACTATTCATTATCGAACACTACTATTGTTTTTTTTCTCTCTCTATGGTGATTGAAAATGCACGACTTTTCAGTTTTTATACTATTAGGTAACTACCATGCATTTTGAAAGTTTTTGAATCTAAGAAGTGCATACTCAATATTCTTCACTGTGTTACTGAAAATATATTAGCATCTCAACAATTGTACCCATCAACATCAACACTTTGACCTGTGCAGATAATTACAAAGTCTGATGGATCATTGACATTAGATTTACTCAGACAAGATTCTATCAGATCTGGCGACTCCCAAAAATGTGGGAAGCTCAAAGTGCATGCTGAGGAATGTGTTGGCTCAAAGACTACAGTAGAGATGATACTCAGGTGTTCAGATTTGGAATATAGGGACCTATTCTCAAAGAGTGTATGTGCTTATTATTAGTTTTGCTGTTGTTAGTTAAGCCTTATGAGGAGCATCAGTTATTACATAAAATGTGTTTGTTTTTTTTTTTTGTCTTGAAGGATCCCTTTTTAATAGTATCAAAAGTTGTGGAAAGTGGTGCCCATATTCCAATTTGCAAAACCGAAGCTATAAAGAATGATCACAACCCAGCATGGAAGCCATTGTTCTTGAATGTTCAACAAGTAGGAAGCAAGGTATAAAACTTGAATTGAATCCTCTAGAATGAGGGGTATACTTCGAAAAATGTGCAATTATAACGGTTGGCTGGCTGGATAATCAACAATATTAACAACTTTATAGTCTATTATAAATGTGTGTATATTTTACTTCAATCTTAACCATTTTTTTTCCATCAACATTCATAACCTACTGTACACGTTACCCTCTTAATCTCAAGTGCACGGCCATATATTTTTTAAGGTGGGACTCTTAACACATTCCCTCACGCTTAGGACTGAACATTGTGGATATATATATATATATATATATATATATATATATATATATATATATATATATATATATATATATATTTTACTTAAATCTTAGCCATTCTTTTCCAATAACCTCTTAACACACGCCTAGTTATATATTTTACTTCAATCTTAACCATTCTTTTCCAATCAACATTTATAACCAACAGTACACTTTTACCTTCTTAATCATAAGTGTACCAGCCTGTTTAGAAGTCTTAGAATTGTGGTTTAGTCTACCACAACCTTACAAAACCGTCTTGTAAGGTGCGGATTTCCCCCTCTATAAAGATATTTTCAGGCCGTGTCTTTTCTAATGTAGGACTCTTAGCACACCTCCTCACAACCATTCTTTCCCAATCAACATTTATAACCTAAAGTACACTTTACCCTCTTAATCTTAAGTGCACTTGTCTGATTAGAAGTCTTAGAATTGTGGTTAAGCCTAATGCAACCCTACAAAACCATCTTGTAAGGTGAGGTCATATCTTTTCCAATGTGAGACTCTTAACACACTCTTTGTGAGACTCTTAACTCACCCTTCACGTCTAGGACTAGACATTTGGATAGGCTCGGATACCATCTTAGAATTGTGGTTGAACCTAACACAACCTTACAAAGCTCGCTTTTAAGGTGAGGATTTCCCCTACTTGTAAACATATTTTCAGGCCATATCCTTTCCAACGTGGGATTCTTGATAAGAACTATTAAATTTTAGATTTTGTTTTTCATTGTCAATGACTAAATAACCAACTATTCTGAAAAGTTTTAACTTTTAGGCTTTGTTTGGAGTTTGGAGGGGAAGAGAGGGGAGAGTTTTGAAAAAAGGGAAGGATTGAGTGAAAAGAATAGAATGATTTTGGAGATTTATTTTTATTCAAAAATCAAAATTCTCCTAATTTAGGGGAACTAAAAAACTGTATTGGAAGAGGAGTTTAGAGGGTTTTGGAGGGCTTAGACGAATTGTTTGAATATAATTTATTTTGTTATAGTATTTCAAAAATTAAAATATGTAAATGATAAATACTCTGTTAAAAATTTATCTATATTTAAAAAAAAATCGTTTTTCGAAGCCCTCTCTTCCCCTCCTCTCTAAACTCTCAAACAAAAACAAAGTCTTAGGCTTTGTTTGAGAGTTTGGAGGGGAATGGAAGAGAAGACTTTGAAAAATAGGAAGAATTGAGCAAAAAGAATAAAAAGATTTTGGTTGGGAGGGTTTGTTTTTATTCATGATATCAAAAACCCCCTAATTTGGAGAAATTCAAAATTTGTATTAGAGGAAGGTTTTGTAGGGCTTAGACAAATTCTTCAATCAAGTAAAATTTGTATTAGAGGAAGGTTTTATTCAAGCTAATGAGGTGGAAAGAATTGAACTATTGATCACTTTGTCATTAGGCTTCAACTATCTATCTATTAAAATTAACTATTAACTTCCTAATATATATATATATATATATATATATATATATATATATATATATATATATATATATATATATATATATATATATATATATATATATATATATATATATATATATATTGAACTACCTCATTTTTCCACCTCATTCATTTATCACTTTTTACCTTTTACTTTCTCACTTTTCATTTTCTTCTATTTATTCAAATTTCAAATTTCTCACATTTTTTTCTCACTTTCCCACTTTCATCTATTTTATTTTTTTTTTAAGTATAAATAACAAAATTTAAATCTCTTTTTAATTTAATGAAGAAGAACACAAAAAAATATAAAATTTTTAAAACACAAAATTTAATCACAAAATAAAAACATAATCATTTTATAATTGTTAAAAAAATTATTTATAATTTATATGATTATTTTTTATTTTATAATTAAGTAACTCATTTGAAATGAACATGTCTATCTAAATACATTTTATACTGTATCAAATTGGATAACAATCAATAACGGTGCACACAACTAACTTTCCATTTCATAGGCCATTATCAGGACAATATCTATTTTATTTTAACCAACAATTGTCTTTATTTGAAAGACAAATTCTTTATTTTCAAATGTGAGAATTTTCTCTTTTTTCCTTTCTACATCTCACGGGTCTGTTTTTTTCTTTTTTATATGATTATTTAATACAATTGACTTTATATGAGTCATTTTACAATTAAGTAACACATTTAATTTTACATGCGTATCTACGAACATTTTATATTGTGTCAAGAATATCACTCAATAATGGTGCACACTACTAAATATCTATTTTATTTAATCAACAATTGCCTTTAACTGAGAGATGAATTATTTATTTTTAAATGTGAACATTTTTTTTTCCTGCAAATTCTTTTTGTCATTTCAAATTTACCCGTGTATATAAATATATTTTATACGATATTAAATAAATTTATTCATACGGATGCACGGGTATTTTGCTAGTCGATAATCAATTCTCCTAACATCTTAGTAGCTTGAGGTTATTAATGGCTTTGTTTCTATTAACTATTTTTTCACCACGATTCAATGCACACCATCACTAATAAAGTTCTGATTAGAGTTGAAGTTATATGGATTACTGTGATTTGAATTCATCGCCGCTAAGTCAGAGTGCAGGAACATTACTGTTACAGCGAGGGTCTTCTGCATTTATTGTAACCTTAAATGTGGATTTTACTTACTGTTTCACTTCGGTTTATCTTCTTGTTTGAGGGTAGCGATTTTGATTTTATGGTAAAAACCTACCAGCATAATTGAAGCTATCTCATTTTTCATTTTCATTGCATACAGGAAAATCCTTTGATAATAGAGTGCTACAACTATAATAGCAGTGGCAAACATGATTTGTTGGGGTAATTTTTGCTTGTTTGTCCTTTTGTCCCTTAAAAACTATTTCTGGGTTGAGATGAATACTAGTTGTTTATCCTATTTTATCAGAAAAGTGCAGACATCCTTGGTAGAGTTGGAGAAGCTCTATTCTGGTGGCCAAGGAGAAAATTTATTTTTGTCTGGTGGTCATGATTCTCAGGCCAAGGTTTTATTAAATTAAATGTTAATTTCAATCATTAATTCCTCTGTTTTTCCCTAAAATCATATTTAACTATGATAAAGGTGTAGAGAATAATGAAATAATATACTATATTTCAACAAAAGGTTTTGAAGAGTCGGCTATTTGTGGATAAATTTTCTGAAAGCATCCAATATACTTTCCTGGATTACCTGGCTGGGGGATTTGAATTGAACTTCATGCTGGCCGTTGATTTTACAGGTACTCCATATATCCTTAAGCTTGTTGTACCTAATTATTTTCTGGATTGTAATACTAATAGATATTTTCATCAGTCTTTTGTTTATAATCACCAGTGATGGGAATGAGATAATAATATTTATATGATTATCGTATTTGTAATATTACTTATTGAAAATTGTATATCTTGTTCCCATCTCGGATTTGGATTCTAAGAATGTTAATATTCAGTCTGACCACTAGAATTTAACCATATGAAGTTCTAGTGTTTTTCAATATTCTTGCTTTTTAAAAAAAAAATCATTATGATTCTTAACATAGCTAATTTTCTTGACTTTGTTATTTCTTGGAAAACTTACATGAGAAGAAATCATTTATTTAACTTTTTGGAAGTGTGGCACAGACAGGATTATTGCTCTTTGACCTTTCATAGTTAATTGTAGATATTACGACTTTTTTTAAAATTTTTCCAATAACCTTGCGTTGTAGTATTGGGTTTGAAAAGTTATTCTTTTAATGGTAGGACTATATGAGGTATCTGTATTTTTTATTTATCAAAGGGGATTACAACTATGTCTGGAAATCTTAATTTCAATATAATTTAGGCTAAAATCTATTTTTAGTCCCTACAAAGTCAAGAGTTTTGAGGTTTAGTCCCTAAAAATAAATTATTCCTTTTTAGTCTCTATTTTCCTTTTATGTCTTGAAATCTTAATTTCAATATAATTTAGGTTAAAATGTATTTAGTCCCTACAAAGTCAAGAGTTGAGGTTTAGTCCCTCAAAATAAATTATTCCTTTTTAGTCTCTATTTTGCCTTTTATAGGCACTATTTTGAGGACTAAAAGTATTCATTTTTTGTAAAAAGTTTTCAAAATAAGAACTATTCTTAAATTTGCAATATTACATATGACTAAAATTTTACTTCAATTTTGTTTATTAGAGATTAAACTTGAAAGCTCGTGATTTATAGGGGCTGAAAACATATTTAACCCAATAATTTACGATTATTTAGCTTCCCCATCCTCCAATTTATTGGTGAGCTAGTCCTTAACTTAATAATAAAAAGTTCATCCTTCCTTCTCAGTCCTCACTAGTGCTTAGTTTCCAGTTTGCACTAGTGTGCATGGCAGGGTGGAGTAAGGCTCCTCAAGGGAGCATTTGTGGGTTCCCCAAAATGCTCTTCCCGAGTCCACAATTGCCCCTGTTGACTGCTGATATGAGGTTGATCCTCTCCCTCCTTATCCTTCTTTTCTTTCTTTCTTCTCCAACCCCTCTACTCTTAGGATTATAGAATGATATAAACATTGTATGACATGGTTTACATTTCAATCTGTTATGCTGGTTATGTATTGGATGACAAGGGTGCTATACATTTTTATGGGCTAACCTCGTCTTGTTTACCAGCTTCAAATGGCAATTCGCGGCTTCCAGATTCTTTGCATTATATCGATCCTTCAGGACGGCCAAATTCATACCAGAGAGTAAGAAATGATTTTTGGTTTGAATTTCCACTACTTTATTTGTTACTGATCCATGTTCTACAAATATTTTTAGGCAATCATTGAGGTTGGAGAGGTGTTACAGTTTTATGACGCAGACAAGCGATTTCCTACGTGGGGATTTGGAGCACGGCCAATTGATGGTCCGGTCTCCCATTGTTTCAACTTGAACGGAAGCAATAGTTACTGTGAGGTGAAAATGCTAATTCTGATCTTGCCTTGGTTGCTATATTTAAATAGTTTACCAATTATAAGATTCTGCCTTTGCAGGTGGATGGTATTCAAGGAATTATGATGGCATACACAAGTGCTCTGCTTAACGTTTCTCTTGCAGGACCAACACTTTTTGGACCTGTCATAAATAATGCTGCACTTATTGCCAGCCAATCTGTAGCAAATGGTGGAAGAAAGTACTTTATCTTGTTGATAATCACAGTAAGAATTAGAATATGTGCAGTTTTCTATATGATTGAAGTTTAGTATGTGGAATGGCAATTCCATTTCGTGCTTAATTGACTGAATTGAGTCAATTCCACGGCATGAACATTTTTATATTTTTTTTGCTTATTAGCAAGAAAAAGCATGGAAAAGTTATTCTATTTCGTCCCTTACTCCATAGAACCAGAAATCCCCTTCCTCATATAGGGAGGATTGGTGATTCCTTACTCCATATAATGCATTTAAAATTCTTTTTCTAAACAATCCCTTATTTAATTTATACCATGATATTCATCCTTTGGAAATTATACTTCTATTTCCAATCTAATCTTCATATCTCACAATTGGTTATAAATTACATGTTAAAATTTGAAGAATCATTATTCTTCAAATTTTAATTTGGAATTTAAATGCTTATGTAAAAGTACATGTAAAAGAAAAATATAACAATGTGAAGTACAAATTAGATAAGTATGGAGGGTTTTAAAAATATTGTATGAAGATTATTCTATACACTACATGGGAATGAAAACTATGATTAATGTATCCATGTTAGACCAACGCATACCACTCTATACTTGCCTTGCGCACCCAAAAAAATCTATTCCTACTTTTGAGAATTTTCAAATAAAATTGCAGCACCTTGCGTTTTCCACTGCTGGTGCTAATGTTTAGTTGGTAATCCTCCTAGGATGGAGTAGTGACAGATCTCCAAGAAACAAAAGATGCACTTGTTAAAGCATCAAACCTGCCATTATCAATCCTTATTGTTGGCGTAGGAGGAGCTGATTTCAAAGAAATGGAGGTATTTAATCCAATGTGTATGCTCTTTAGTCTTTCCTATTGAGTTATAATTGTTTGGCATGGGTCATTTACCTGCATGACAGGTATGTAGTGTCCCCTCAGGGCTTTTATGTAGTTTTGTTATTCAATGTCACAGATCTTGGATGCAGACAAGGGGGAAAGGCTTGAAAGTTCATCCGGGCGTGTTGCCTCACGTGATATAGTCCAGTTTGTTCCATTTCGGGATGTTCAAAGTATGTAATCAGTTTGCAAATTATGACTTTTTCAATGGCCTTGAACTTATCAATCTTCTGTAAACTTGTTCCTGTTGCAGGTGGTGAAATTTCAGTAGTTCAAGCACTTCTAGCAGAATTACCTACTCAATTTTTAGCTTACATGCGGAGCGGAAATATCCAACCAAATGTTTAGTTTTGTAAAGATCTTGCATATTCAAAATATCATATTCATTGATCATTGTGCATGTTCAAGGCCCTTTTTACCTTTTTACTCTATCTTGAATCGGTAAGTTCGGCCAAAGGGCTGAGAACTCATGCTTTATGCTAGATGCCAATTAAAGGGTCAAGAGAGGTTCCTCGGTCAGCTGCTTTATCTTCATGTCTGCCCGTTCAAGCCTATTGGTTGGAATTTCCTTTTCTTTTCTTGTTGCTTTTGGGTTTTTCTGGTTAGTTAGGGTCGGAAAAAAGTTATTGTACAAATTGAAGTTTCTGTTTTCTTGTAGCTGAGAAGGCAAAATTTCTAGTCTACACCAAATCTGGAAATCCAATATAAACTGAATTACTTTTTATTTTATTTTATCTTTTATCATTGGATAAAATTCTATATGAATCGTATTCAAGAATGAGTCTCATAAAATAGAGCACTGTCAGATTGGAGAAGGAACTGGTTGCATCTGAACAGGTTTCTATTGAGCCCAATTGTATAACTAGAGAATTTTTTTAATTTCTTTTTGTATCCTAGATGATTAAAATATATCATGTGAATTTTTATAAATATCTCCCGTTTTCAGAAATATATCTTCGGACGTACTTTAGCACACATTTAATAAAGGTCATTTTAAGTGACGCTCTTTATTTTAGTTTAATATATTCTGGAGAATAATTTCTGAAATATTTCGGTAGTTACATCTCCGGAGACACGCTAGTATCAGATTTAAAAAAAAAAGTAATTTTTCAAAATAAAATTGTCATTCATAACATAAAATAAGAATTACAATGATGATTTCAACATAAATTATAATATTACATTTCAATATTCCAATGAACGCTTAAATATCTTTAGAATATTTTCGACTGATCTTGAAAATGTCCTTTTCAACTTGAGTGAATTTTTTTTTTCAAAGCAGAAATACGTATTTCACTTAGCCTTTACATCTTGCGTCTTAAGCTCAAATTTATTGAACTCAATTTGTCTTTTGCCGTCAGTCGACAGCGAACAGTACTTGAGCTTCACAATCTTTGAATTGTCTTCGTAAGGTAGGAGATAATGGATGTTGTTTTTGATATCTTCGAGAGAGGTGGAGTCAGTGAGCTTGAACGTTCACCCAGGTGTAGAGCCGGAGAAGGAGACATTTGTGACATACCAATAGATGTTTATTTTGTGACATTTGAGACATTTTTAGTTTATGTGAAATATAACATAAGAACACCTAAATTTATAGAAACCATATGTTAGTTATGTGTTTTTGAGATTGACAACAATTTTGTTAAAACATGTTTCACAACAAGATGTTGAACAAGATGTCTTGACATGGTGGTCAGACATCATTGCAGAGATATTAAGCACGATGTCGTGACATGTTGGTTAGACACTAGTGCATGTTCTGTTTTACTTTTTGGAAGACCTGTTCTTAATTTGTGAGACTCTATATGTTTTTAGTTCTCATTTTGCCACAGTCCAAGGAGGATTACTTTAGGAACGTCTATTTTTTTTTTCAGAAGCGCATTTGTTTCATAGTGGATTTCCTTCTTGGCTTGTATGCCCCCAGATGCATGTGATGTTGCACCGAACTAGGTTCACAATTAACCGTGTTATTTACTTTCAGTCATTCAAATTAATTGCATAGTTATTAGTGTTGTGTCACTGTCATGATCCTAGTGTCGTGACATCGTACTCGACATCTAGTGTCTGATTATCAGAATTTCACGATAGATCAATTTGGACCACTCATTAACTGACAGATTTATTCCGGAAATATATCTCTGAAATCGCACCCTATTATCTTGTTTGGAGATGTATCTCCGGAACTTTCCTGAACCATTTTCAAAATAGAACACTATAACAGAATCATTTTTTTCATTGACAAAAACACACATGTTGTCATGGGGTAGATAAAAAATGCATAAAGACAAAATATAAACAAAAGGTGAATATATAACACTTCATTTATATTGAGACACAATTACATACAATTATTTGTTCGCTTAAACAAAAATTGAATCGAAACATGTCTCTCCGGCTAAATCTATAGGTGGTACCCCCTTGAGCTTTTGTGCATTTAATTCTTTTTTAATGTTGCTCAAGCTCTCAAATTCTTGCATCATTTCCATAAAATGATCCAGCCAAGTCTCAGCTTTTGTGGTTGAATGAGTCGTCCACTCCGGTCATGCAAGTGGTATAGAGCATCTCAGTTTCAAGTAAACTTGAACAAAATGACTTGATTTTAAAAGCTACCCAATACACATGATTCGATCATTTGGATTTTGGGGATGGTGCGGTGCACAGTGGAAAAAAAGTTTTTGAAAAACCGTAGCATGTCAAGCCAATACACATTATCATACGCACATGCTATTAGGTGACCCATTTCTAGGAAGTGCATTCATTTTGCCTCCGGCGCCAGACCGCTCAAGTAAGGAACAAGAGACTCATAAACTGCATCGAAATTTTCTTTCTATGCATACAACCGCGTGTATGATTCTTTATGCGTCTTTATTTCTTGGATAAGTTGATGTCAGACAAGTGTATGGATATATTTTCCTTTATCGAGTAAAGCCGAAACAGCTCGGTAACTACAACTACCGTCCCCTACAACATTGACAATCCGCTCAATATATTTGTGCATAAAAATCAACATTTTGTCGATGAATGGAATCTTCGATGCAAGCGGCGTCGGAGGTAGTTTGCTAATTTGGGCTCCTTTCACAACACTTTTTTGAGATTTTGGAGTCGGTGAGTTGGAAAAAACTTTGTCAACGTGTTCAAAATATGAAGGAGACCGTGTAATCGACTTCTCGTTCGGTGTAGCCTTTATTTTCTTCAGAGGATCTATTGTCTTTACCAGTTGAGAAGGCGGTTTCATGTTGGTGGTTTCTGGATAGACAATTTTCCTCAATTTTTCTTTGATGTGGAGTTTCATGTTGTCACCGACCTTCAAAAATCTCTCTTGTATGACTTTCCATTCGGTCTAAATAGAGATATTCGATTTATCATCATCCATGCATCCATCATCATCAAACTTGAGTCTCTTCCAATGAGTGCGAACCTTGTCCATTCTTATTGGTTCATAAAGTTTTACCTTTTTAGAAATAATACAAGCACATGAGAGACCATATGTTTTCACAATAGTGCATCCACACTTTGCGCTATCGGAGCCTACATTATCAGCTCGTTTATACTCATGAAAAATATAGTTCAAATCCACTTGAGAAATGTTACTAACCAACTGAGAATCATGTGTTCCAAAAATGTGATGCTCTGACCAAATTTTGTTTGTATTTCATTATACTGGTTTTGAATCATGTAGTTCACGGAGTTCTAGTCTCTACACAAATCCCCTTTACTATTTTCCAACCAGTTTTTCAAAGTAGGATGAGCCGACTCAACTCTGTTAGTTGTTGTATTTCCAATGTGTCTAACATTATCATTCAACGCACAAACTATATTCTTGTTCACTTGGTCAAGAATTGCACTTTCAACATATTTCAACAAATCTTGATACTTTTCACACATTTTCCTAAAATGAATAACGAAATCAACATATATTTCTTTTATGGAAGAATTTATTATATGATTCCATGTATTCATTATTTTTTCCACAACCACACTCGCCTTGTAACACCCCAAATTTAAGCGGAATATTTTAATTAATTATTTAATTGAGAATATTCGTATTTTGGATGGTTTTCGGTGGTTTTGTGGATTATTGAGAAAATGTGTATTTTTGGACTATTTATTTAATTAATAGTATACTATATAAGAATATTAGTATTATTATTGATTAAAATGAATATAAGTGAAATAAGGGTAAATTGGGCATTATGAAGAGTTAGTAAGGGTGTTATGGGAAAAGCCCAATTGTGTTGCCCAAGTCTAAGTTTGACAAAATAGAATTCTGAAGGTTTAGGATTCATTTTGTTAATAGTGAAAAGAATGAAGGCCAGAGCTTTGAGGAGGATCAGTGGATGCAAGAGCTTCGGAAGATTGCCGGAGTTAATCGTGAAAGCTTTGAATCGGCTAAGGTATGGAGAGTATCGTTGTTCATGATTTTCTATGTATGCCTTTGGATGTGTTTACGGTTGGTTTACGTGGTTTATGATTTAAGGTATTTTGGGTTGATTGTGGGAAAATAAGAGAAATTGATGATGAAACCTTGAGGGTTGTGGTTAGTGGTTAGTATTCCTGACTATTGATGTGAAACATGAGAATTAGGAAACCTTAGGCCTTTGTGGCAAAAACCTTGGATAGTTGTATGTTGGACCCTGTAGGAATAGAAATATTCAAATGTGAGTAACTCTGGTGCACTCAGAGCAATTGTAGGGAATAGTGATTTAGGCAGTGCAAATGTTGCCAGATTGGCCTAATAACCCATAGATTTGGTGCCGTTATCGTCGTATGACATTGGGGATGTTTTGGGGGCATTGGGTAAGTAGATCGTATGAGTATTTGGATAGAAATCAGTTCTGGTGCGTAGCAGGTTTTGCTGTCATCGCACTGTTCGCCTAGCGAGCAAGCCAGCGAAGGTTCGCTACAGGCTCGCCTAGCGAGCAAGCCAGCGAAGACTCGCTACCAACTCGCCTAGAGAGCGAGCCAGCGAACGCAACAGAGTTCGCGAATATTGACCGTGTGCAGCGATGTCGTGATGTTTGATTCTGGGATTCCTGTGATGAGTTACCATGAGTATGGCAGTGAGGTTGCGTGAGTAATAAGTGATAGTATGAGAATTACCGCGAGTGTAATTATGATGAATTAATATGAGGCAATGTGAGATGATATTAGGGATTAATATGTGAATACTATGTGATGATATGACGAATTAACATGAGTAGAACTGTGAAGTTTATGTGATTGATAGGCGATAGTGTGAGAATTACCGTGAGTAAAATTTTATAAATTAATATGAGATGATATGGGGGTAGTATTATGAATTAATATGGGATAATATGACTATGAGCTAATATGTGATTTATACGTGA